ACTACGTGTAAACTAAAATATGTAAATAATAAATAAAAACATAACCGTTCCGATACCCGTGATCACCCTCTGTATATTCTTTATAATATTTTTGACTACAGTACTGCGGAATGTTTTTTATTTGTCACTGTTTCATGTGATATTGCATTTGTGTAGACATTTTTCCTACATTATTAATTAACAAATAATCTCAACAAATAGCTATCACAATTAATATTTGTAACAAATAAAAGATTAATCTCTGTTCGCATCCTAATAATAATCCTTTGTGTCTTTCTTTATTTATCAAATAACAATTATAATTTTACATTCAACTCTCCTTAACCTTAACTTTAGTCACCTCAGAAACATATATATCTAAACTAACGGCAAATACATTCCAGCAATCTTCAAGAAGTTTATACTCATCTTGTGGAATACTATTCAAAAAATCACCATAAACCGATTCATCATTCAAAAAGTCGTTCAAACATGAATCAATAACTTCCCAAAATGAAGAAATAATATCTGCAATTTCTTCAAATTTATTTAATGATTCTATAATTTGTTCGGACCATGCAGATGCCTTTTCAATCTGTTTGTAAAGTACAATTTGTTTTTCCTTGAGCTCATTTTTAATGACTAAAGATCATATTATAAAAAATTAGTTGAGATGACTATATCGAATAATATGATCAATAATTTTATACCTGAATTTCTTGTTTTACAAGCTGCGTAGGAACAACCATAACTAGTCCCGGCTAGAGCGGTTCCGCATACGATTTTAGCTAGAGTGGTTCCGCATCCAATCTTATTGAGTACAGTAAGCGCAAGAGGTACTTGATATGCGCCGGCAACAAGAATGCCAACGTAACCAAAGCTTACAATAGCTACGGCCGCGAAGGCAATTTTATAAGTATTATTATCATACCATGAAATTTTTTCATTCAAATTTTCGATTTCAACTTTTAAATTTAATTTCACTTTTTCTAAATTTTCTTCTGAGAGTTTGGATTCAGCCCAAATATTATAATCCAACCTGAACTTAATAACATCCCGTTTGTATTGATCAAAATTTACAGAGTTTTTTTTGGCCTTTTCTTTATTCTTTTCAATAAACTGGTGTGGATAATAGGTGTTGGTGAGTTGAGTATGCATAAGGAGTATTTTTAAACCATATTAGAAAAAGCGACTTACGTTTCTGATTCGCTTTATATGGTTTTCTTTTTCGGCCTTGGAAATTTTATTACTCTTCAAAATTGGAAGTGTTTTTTTGACGTGATTTCTGGAATAAGTAGATAACGTCCTGGCATCTTCTTTCGAGTTCATCATTAGATTTTTATATCTTCTGCATAGTGTGTTCCATTCAGGAGCCCAACACTTTTTGTCGAGATTGCAACCATCTATTCGAAGCAAAATCTCATAAATCTGTTCTGATTTTTCTTTAATGCGTAGATGTTCTCCAGGGAAATCATAGAGATTTTTGAAAGTTGCGTTCAGGCTGTTTATATCAATACTTTTCGCGGCCTCGATAAATTCTTTATGTTCTTTCTCGGTAAACTTATTATCAATGATTTTGCCAAGAATTCCCTTAAAGATTTCCACAAAATTTTTGATAAAATTGGAGGAATTTTCGGGATCTTCGCCACTAGTATGTGTGTACATATTGTCTTTAAAAATCGGACGAGAGGTACGTGGTAGCATAATGTATTTATTCCAAAAATTTGATTGATTCTATTTAGGGATATTAAATGATTTTTTAAATCGGATTCAATCATGCATGATTACATGTCACAAATCGATTGAAAACAAAAAATTGCCAATCCATAATTGTATTTATCTGGTTCAGGCACCCAGGCCTCCAGGCCCAGATAACCAGGGAGATAAGTCATATAGAAATGGACTGGAAATTTTATTTGCCAAAAAAAACCACATTTATCTCTTGCATCCGTGATGTCTAAAAGAACAAGTTTTAAGATGATAGGAACAAGTTTCAACATATACATGAGAAAAAATCCATGACTAGTCATCTTTCTAATGTACATAAACTCTAACAATCAAGAATGAAAAAGGTAATTATTGCACGTTCACATATGTTACGGCAACTGACCAGTGCCATACTTGCTTAATATGTTTATATTATGCTGCGGATTTTACCAAATTTAGAGACAGATAAAATTTATTTAATGTTTGCTTCGATGTATCTTTCGCATTCGGTTTTCATAAAAAATGACATATATCGAGTCTAAGTGCTTCGGAAATTCGCACGCTGACGATACTAATTCCGGGGATGCCAAAAAATCCCCTGATATCTCTAATAATAATAACTTGCCCGAGGAAGAGAGGAAGGAAATTACTAGAGCTTTGATAAATGTTAATAAAAACGACATAATCGAAGTTATTATTAACAGCATTGATCAATTCAATAAAACACGTATGAGCACTAAACAAAAATCCCAACAAATTTACGAGAAATTGATTTATATAGATTTCAGCAATCAAGACAAAAGTCGTTGGGCTCCTGAATGGGATAAATTATGTAAAATGTATAAAGGTCTAATGATCAACTCGACAAGTGCTACTACGACATTACCTACTTATTACAGGAATCACGTCAAAAAAACTCTTCCAATATTGAAGAGCAACAAAGTTTCCGCAGCCAAAAAAATTTTTTTAATAGAGAAAATAAAAAATGTGAGTCGTTTTTTTTTCTATATAGTTAAAATGCCGTTTTCCTGCATACTTAACTCACGAACACGCACATAAACTATTTACACCAGTCTATTAAGGATCATCAAGAAAAGGTAAAAAAAAGCCTCCTTGATTTTGATCAATACAAGCAGGATGTTGTCAAGTTCAGGCAGGACATTGTGGAGTTCAAAGAGGAGGTTACTGGAACCATACATCAGAAAGAAGTAATTTTACATAGTTGCTCCATTATGCAAATCTGCATGAGTGTTTTCAACTTTCTGAACGCTCAAAACGAAATTTGTTCAGGTGAAGCTCTTTTCAAATTACAATATTTATTAAAGAAAGATCCATTTATATTCTTAAATAATGATTCGATTATTTTAAATAAAAAATTTTTTTCTCAATAATTTTTAGATACTAAGGAAACATTCACGATGACACGTGAATATGTTGGAAAAGCATCTGAAATGGTCAAAGAATTTAGTGGTTCTATAGAAAAATTTTCCGGGATTAATAATGTCCATTATAAAGTTTTAAGTGTTATTAATAGCGATTTGGAAAGTTTTTTGAGTACCAAAACCACACTTATCAATGACAGAAATAAGCGGGAAAAGCTTAGTGTTAAAAATTTTTATTCCGTATGAAAGATGAATTTTCTCTTGATATCATTTCTTTATACTGTATATGATACTTGAATTACCTTTTTTAATAACATTACATTATCATAGCCTTTTTATATTATTGACTGACTCTCTTTATTAAAGTTATTATACTTCAATGTTTTAGTAAACATAAAATTTCGGCAAGTTTTTTTCGAGTAATCGATTACAGCACGGACATACTTTTTAACGAAAAATTCAATGACCAAATAATCTCTATTAAATCATTCTTTGTGCAACGAACTAAATGTTCGGATTGACCGTTTGAGAAAGAAACATCCATTACTCTAAATCATCACATAAATGTTTATGACTGAAATCAAAAGTCGAGAAAGCCAATAGATATTATTTCCTTAATCAATGCGTATTACTGTAAATATCGCAATATAGATTTCAACAATTCAAACCATAATTTTTTTGTTGTATTTTTTGAATTAAAATATACTGTATATGAAGTATGTACATACTGTACATCTCATTTAAAAGATCTAAAGATTGGAATTGTTTAATAATAATAAAATTATTACAAACATATTATTAATTTTTCCAAAAAATTTCTTAAATAAACAATAACTAAGAAAATTAGAGAAAAGAATTATAAAAAAAAAAATTTTTTTTTTATTGGTAAACAATTTTTTCATTTGAAAAATTTATGATTATTTAAATTTAAAATAAAATCACATTTTTGAAAATCGAAAAAAAAATCTTTTGAGAATTTTAATTCATTTATAAATTAAACTATTTTTTAAAAAAAAATTCTTACAATTAATATTTTTATAATGAATCATATTTCATAATTATAATTTAACAAATTATAACTATTTTATACGAGTCATAAATAGTTACTTTTAAATGATTTTTATTTTAACTAATTTCAGTTTTGAAGCTTTAAATAAGATGTATATTGTATATTATATATCTATTGTTTGATTTTAATTATTAATTATTAAATTATAAGTCAAAATAAAAATTTAAAGAATTCCAAAGATTTTTACATCAAATTGCAGATAATTTGCATAATAAAATAAACATTGAAATAAATTTTTTTTAAAAAAAATATCCAGATGAATCTGAGTTGATATGAAGTAAAATATGTAAACCCAAATAAAAGTTTTATAAAATCTTGCTTGGGTTTTATAAAACATTTAAAACATTTAAAAAATTGATGCACGCATATTAATGGCATTTTTTTTTAACTTTAATGCATAATAAAATCCAATGAAATTATTAATTAGTTAACTAATAATATAAGAATAGATTGTTGATAGTCGATAAGACCAATTTAAATTTAATCGTTAGTCAACTTGCCTCATATGAATATTACGATTCTGATAAACTTTTTTATATTGGTAAATATTGAGTCTTAATTTTCTGCCTGTTAATGCAATTACAATAATAAAATCTGTTCGTATCATAAGAATGTCTCTTCGTATCTTTCTTTATTTATCCAAAAAGAACAAATATTTCTACAACTAAGTTTATTCTAAATTAACCTTAGTTAACTCTGCAACATATCTATCCAAACATTTGGCAAGTACAATCCAATATTTTACAAGAGATTCAAACTCTCCCGGAAGATTCTTAAAAAACAAGTCATAATCTGAATTATTCAAAAAATAATCCAAGCAGCGAATGACAGCTTCCCAGATCATATAAACAATTTTTGTAATACGAGAAAATTCATTTAATGGTTCGATGATTTGTTTTGACAATTCAGATACTTCTTGTGCCATAACAAGCTCTTTTTGTTTTTCACCGAGCTTACTTTTCATACCTAAAAAAATTGTTTTGAAAGAAATTAGTTGAGATAATTATTATTGATTATATAGTTAATAATTTTATACCAGATATTTTCATCTTGAGAGCTGCGTAAGAACAGCCATAGACAGCAACTGTTCCAACGATAGCCCCGAGAGTAACAGATGGTGCGAGAAGTGCAATAGCAACAGTAGCAATGCCAAAGAAAAAAATGCTATTATTAAACGCAATTTTATGAATATTATCATCATAGTATGAAATTTCTTCTTTCAACTTATTGATTTCAGCTTCTAAGTTCTCTATTTTTTTATCAATTTTGGTTTGAGCCCAACTATCATAAGTTGATTTGAAAGCTATAACATCCCGTGTGTATTGATTAAAATCGAGGTAGTTTTTTTTTGCCTTCTCTATATTATTATTAATAGACTGGTGTAAATGGGTGCATGTTCGTAAGTTAAATGTGCAGGAAAGAGTCATTTTAAACTATATATAAAAAAAAAAGACTCACTTCTTTGATTCGGTTTATTAACTTTTCTTTTTGTTCATCAGAGACATTGTTATTCTTTAGAATTGGAAGAAGTTTTATGACGAGATTTTTGGCAAAAGTAGACAATGTTGCGGCATTTCTTTTCGAGTTTATAATTAGATCTTTATATCTTCTACATAATTTGTCCCATTCAGGTGCCCAACGTTTTTCGTCATCGAGATCATAGCCATCTATTTTTCCTAAATTCTCATAAATTTGTTGAGATTTTTCCTCAATTCTTATATATAATTTAGTGAGTTCATTGATTTCATTGAAAGCAGCTTCGTTTAAGGTGTCTTCGTCAATACTTTTCGCGATATTAATAAATTCTTTTATTTCTTCCTCGGTAACCTCATTACTGATAATATCATTAAGGTTACTAAAGGTTTCTCTAAGATCATTGACGCCAGTGGGTAAATTTTCTAGATCTACGAGTCTGGTGTGTCTCATTTTTCTCATAAAAAAGCGGATAAAAGGTGTGTGGTAATAAATATATTTATTTCCAAAATTTTGATTGATTCTAGTTAGATAAAATTTATTAATTCTAGCGATAATTATGATTAATTGATTCCAGTTAAATAAATTTGATTAATTGATTCCAGTTAAATAAATTTGATTAATTGATTCCAGTTAAATAAATTTGATTAATTGATTCCAGTTAA